AATCAAGTTTGATTACAACTAAATTAAACTCACTGTCAGTTCTATGTGTGTGCAACAAAATTGATTTTGGTGGCCTCTGAAATTTTGTCCAAGTGCTTTAAAACAAAGTATAATGTAGGCTAATTTAAAAATTACATTGATAAACAGAATCTATTCCTATGTGGTGTGAGTCATAGTTCTTGCAATTCATCATGGATAATAAAGACTCATTTGTTAATCATATGTGATATATAATATTGTGCGCTTGTTTAGCTGTTAGCTTTTCTCAGATCTGAACCTGAAACACAACAGAATATAGCAGTAGCAGAGCTTAAAACCATGTTACTTCATGAATAAATAAGCTTTAGCAGATGTAGACCTCTCATTCTTGGCACCTCTCAGCTTTCATTCCAAGAAATGAAGGTACATGTCAGTTCAGTGCATTTGTTAAAATTTCACACCATTCCCAAATCAGATAATATATAATGACCCCATCAATGGCTAGTATCCCACATCAACAACAATACTACATCCTGGGGAGTGCGTTTGAGTATGTTGCATAAGAAACAGTTGCACTTAGAGAAATAAAAGGGAACAGCTTGGCAATACTCAAGCTCTGAAAATAAACATAGAAGCGTAGCATTGTTAAATACTTAACATTGTAATCTCATTGGGATTTTCCACTATTTTGATATCTCCCGCAGAGACTATAATTCATTTCTCTGTGGAGCAGATGTCTCAGATTATCTTATTCAAACTGTGGGCTACATTCAGTCCTGTGTAATCTGTTCCCTGTCAAATCAGAGGAGCTAAGCTGTAATGGTTTGAAAATTGAGATAAAAAGACTAAGGCAAGACATTTCTGGGACATGCTGTAATATGGTAAAAGGTCATTTGCATTAGTGAGTTCTGACTGTTGAAGCCAAACATCAAGTACATTTTGGGAAGTTTATCCTCTGATACATTAAAATAACTTGGTTAATATCTGAAATTATCAGTGCAACCGTAAAAGGTCACTTGTAGTTCAGATAGATAACGTCTACTAGTCAAAGCGGTCAACGTATTTGTAATCAGGCCAGGTCACCTAAAGTTTAGGGCAACAAAGTTTTGTAGTACAAGAGTGATGATTGTCCTGATAAAGAGTTTACTATTTGGTGTTGCCTGATGGCCCTGATTTGGTAATGGATGGGAAGCTCTGGAACTGTAACAAACGTATCTGAGTGCCTAGTTATGATAGCAAAAAAACAACACCACATCTCATCAGGTCATCTATTAAACACTGGGCAGGGTTGTAAAATAATGTAATAACGGTAATTTATTACTATACGCATGAATCATTTGTGGAATTTGTACCTTACTTGAGTAGTGCTAAAACTGATTACTATAATAATTGTTTTATATTGAGGAAATTATACTTTTTTCTCCTTCAAATTTCATTTAGACCTTCAAAATGCCAACCATTTTTGCATGTCATGACAACCTAAATCTGTCCTCATTTTGTCAGTTTTACTGAGCTTACAATTATGGTCAAATTAAATTAACTTTTACAGCCAATGACATCCATTTCAGTGTAAACTATATTTGGAAATAATGTTGATCAATCAGCTTAAAGAAGAAACTTTGGACAAAGACAAAGATGGACAATCTTGACTCAATGATCATTGTAATAAATAACTACACTACTGTGCAAAGTTTGGGGTCAGTAAGATTCTTTTGTTGTTGTTAAGAAATTACTTCACTTTTGATTAATTTAATGCATCCATATTAAATAAAACTATTAAAGACATTTATAATATCCACAAAAGTATTAAGCACCACCGTTTTCAACACTGGTAATATTAAGAAATGTTTCTTGAGCATCAAATTAGCTTATGATTTCTGAAGGATCATGTGACACTGGAGTAATGATGCTTTGCCATCACAGGAATAAAACTAAAATATATTAAAATAGAAACAGTATTTTAAAGTCAAATAATATATCAATATTATGTTTGTACTGTATTTTTGATCAAATAAATGCCTTGGTAAGCATAAGAGACTTATTTCAAAAATCTAACCAAATGGTAGTGTGTCTATTTAAACATACTATAAAATGTTGACGCTTTTTTATATATATATAGTTCAGTAATCATTGTGACAGTACACGCACTTTCAAGTATAATTTCTTAGTACTTTTCACACCTCTTATTGTGCATACTGACTAATTACATACCAAAAATACATTTCTACAATATAGATGTCTTGACGCTTACATGGTAACTTCATTCTCCTGATATGTGGTCCTGTAGAAACCAACCAGAGAGCCGTTGAGCCAGCCCTGGAAGTGTAGAGTGAGGATGTAATGCTCGTCTGGGCCAGTGACACTCAACTGCTCGGCCGCCTCCACCACCACATACTCCTGTGGCTTGCACTCAAAGCATTCCTTCACCTGGACAGAGGTCAAGCCGGATGGGCCGCTGCGCTGCAGAGAGGGCACCGCGGTGACAAAAGTCTCTCGAATGTGGAGCCACAGGTGCTGACTGGGCTGTGTCAGGGTCAGATGGATGGACACGCTCCCAGTGTAGATGTCTGTGTCGAGGTCAGGCTCCAGGTGCAGGTCATAATGGAAAGGTACCATGTATTCAGGTAAGCGGAAGTTGTTCCAGCCACCATTTGTGTTGTCGGATGGTTTACAGGGACCCCGGTCATCTGGCAGCATTGTAGGTAATGGTGTTGTGGGTAATGGTGTTGGTTTGGGTTCCCCTTCGGATGAGGAGGTCTTCTGGCTCAAACCAACGCCGAGCCCCACAGCAACACCTGTCACGATGACGACGGCGCAGATGATAGCAGCATGCTTGCCTCGGATAAAGTACCGCTTTTCCTTCTTTTCGAACTCCAGGCTTTCCATGGCGAGCCGTCAAACGCAGAGAGTCAGAATGTGTACAAAACACTCAAAGTTCAGAAAGTCAGAACACTCTCTCCCTGTGAACCCAGACACACACACAAACACACACACACACACTCTATCCTTACACTTCCTTTTGCCTCCAAAGAGAGGAAACAGCTGTGTCTGGATTCCCAGATGTGTGGACATATGCAGACCCGCACACACTCACGCAGGGCAGCCTGTGGGAGGCACAGAGGTTAAAGCAGGAGGAGGTTAAGTTTCACCATAGTCTAAAAAATTGCTCTGATCTCTGTAAGGTCACGGCCACGCGGTTGTCAAAACGTCTACGCCGGGAGGTGATCCTTAAGCTGTAGTGTGGCAAGTCCTCACTCAACAAATCTCATGCTGACAGAGATGATACTTAGGGTAGAGGGGCTGAATTTGTACCGCCCTTCAGTTAAACATAAATCAAAATATGTTAATCAGCAGTCAAAGAGGAATGATCACAAACAAGCATCAGAGAGAGAAGCGTGGGGGAGGGAGGCATAGAAAAGCAGAGTAAAAATGGAAGGAGTTACTATGAGGAGAGGAAGGGGCTTATGGGAGAGATCCAGGGAATGTTACGAAACTGTCACAGATTTAAGTGGCTAAAGAAATTATATCCTGGACTGAAACTTTAAATGATGAACAATTTTGTCAGACATTAAAGGCTACAGCAGCTTTAAGTGGAGCTTTAATCACAACATCTTACTTTTAAAGTGACAAATGTTGTGATCAGAGACTTTGAATAGAGAGATCCAAATACAACAACTTTAGATCACATGCACGTTTCCTTCCTCAATGCAGTTTTATTTATTCAACACAATTGATTATAATAGAGGTCTGATCTATCTATTTATAGAGTCTTTAAAGCTCAGGTTAATATTTTTTAAACATCTATACACATACAGCAAGGAAAGTGTTTGTAAATCCTTTGGAATAGAGGTGCCAAAACTTTTTACTCTGTAAAAAAATTATTTATGATTTAAATAAAAAAAAGATTATTGGAGTATTGTCTTTCTACTTCAAAATTTAATGTTTAATTCAACTTGTCACTTGTCATTTCTTTCTAATTATTTGTGAAATGTACTAGCAATTCCTGAGTGAAAATTGTTTCAAAGTAAATCCTATATGCATCTGGTGTATACACCTTTTTTTTCAGTGTATGAAGGGCCAAAAATCAAACTTGATTGAGGGCATTGGGCTGAAAGTATAATGTTCCGTTAAATCCAACCATATTTTATTAAAATGTATATATATTAAAATAAAATTCACTTCTCCACATTTCAAAGCACAAAAAAACCCCATAAATTAGAAATAATAATATGCTTCTATGCCATGTTTTTTCTCCCTTTTTGTCATAGGGCATGTCAGGCCAACTTTGGCATCTGTTCTTTAGAATAATCTGCCCTAAAATCTGTGACTCTCATCTAAAGCACATGGATCCATAAAGACTAACTGGAATAATTTACTGCATGTCTTTACAGAATCCTCTTCAGTGTGTGAATTTTACATTCAAGTGGATTCAATAAATTTAAAGTAAAAATTTGGATAATTATGTTTTGATAATTTGAGCTAGATGTTACTATTTAGTGTGATGACAATCAGGTGTGAGTTTGAAAACCATCAGTGTTTTGGGGCTTCTCACGGCTAATTCTTAATAAACCCACATCATGAGTTTCTCAACATGAATATGGTGTAATATTTTACAGGAGTAATCAGGATTTTTTTTATAGGAGTGCTGCAATGTAGATATGAAAGACTTAGTTAAATCAGTTATCATCAACTTAATTAGTTATCATAATCATAAATCATTTGTTATCATGTTTGTGTGAAACCTTTCTGGTGAATGTAAAATAATAAGGAGTGGTAACAATGGTACTGTAAATGTTTTATCTGGGTGTATGATAAAAGAAAGATGGGAAGCTGTTACAGCTGTTAAGATGAATAATCGCTCACTGAATTTCATCACTCCATTTGACTCACTATAATCACACTAGCAGAAGAACTTAGGTCAGCAAAATGGTCATCTTGGCCCTTTTTTGGCCCTTACTGTGACACTCAGTATGTTAATCAGCAGCTGCTGTTCACTTGGATCTATCAGGCATAAATGGCCAGCCACACATTACAAAAGATAAATTTTTATAAAGCATTCATTTTCTGTTATACTTGATGTAGCCTGTAAATACTGTATATGGATGACAATAGGTCATCTATAAGCCTACTACTGTTGTACTGTATGCGACTTTTATTAGACTACTGATATGACTAGTGGTTCATGTGAGGGAACATCAATTTTGACACTTTTCAAAAGTACAATTTCAGTTCACTAGCTCCTTTTGTCTTGAAGTGTCTTTAGCTCAGAGCTGCCATCTGGTGGTCATAGCTGAGTAAATAATAAAAAAATAACCTCTCAGTTGAGGAAATATACACAAGGTTATGGTCATTCATGTGAAAAAAAGAAACTTCCTGAAATTATGCATATATCATTTGAATGTGTCAGGTGTGAATTGACATGGAGACATTAGGTTTTTGTCTTCTTTGCAGTGGATTTTCAGAAGCGATCAAAAAGTGTCTCTGTGGCAGGTTCTGTACAGCTGTCCGGTCTCTTTTCATTTTGTCTCTGCTGGCTTTGGGGATTTTCATGACTCTCTTTGGAGGGGAGAGTGGTCTAGTCATGTTTCGAGGTAACAAAGAAGGTATTGCCTTAGATTTCTGGTTAGGTTTCCTCTTCGTATTGTTTGATTTTGCAGCTGTTTGCTGTTGGTCAGAGTTTTTGGAGTCTGCATATTCAGCCATTACCCCAACCACATTCAGACTGACAATGGCCTCTGAAATCCCTGCCATGTTTTGTGCTCTGCACTGGTACTCCCCTGAATCGCTATACGATATTCCATTCAGACTGACTGCTGACCAGCGGATTCCCACATGTGGAGATTCTTGTACATCTGCAGGCAGTGAAGTGATTATGTGATCAGACATTAAATCAAATGAATGAAGAGAACACTCACTACATTACAGTTTACTAACTCATAAATTTGTCAAACATTTGCACCAGTGTGCTTTGTAAGATAATATTTAAACACAAAGGTTTAAAACCAAGTAGACTACAACGAAAAAGTTAATTATTTTAAGTATACAAATTTCTAATGGTTACTTACAGCCAGAAAGTTTTCTGGGCAATCTTTCAGTGTCCATGCGGCTTTGCATCTGCTTACAACAACCCTAAAATAAAGGAACATATACACTGGAGACCAGAATTCTGAGATTATCAGTGAAATTATCAGTAATTTTTAAATGTATTTATTTATTTTTTTGTATTCATATCAGCATAACAATTTGGTGAAAAGTTTAACTGAAAAATTAACAAATTTTAGAATGTATTCAATTTCATTTTCACATTTGAAGTCTTTAAGTCATTCTAATAAAATAAGAAACGTACAGAAAGAGACAACATTGTCTATTAGTGCTTTTCGGTGTTATTTATATACTATTATACAGTAGTATTTATTAATATTTTGAATCACAACCCCAATTCCAGAGAAGTTGGGGCATTTTGTAAAATGGAATAAAATCAAGAATCTGTTATTTGTTTAACTTTTATTTAATTGACAAAAGTACAAAGAAAAGATTTCCAAAGTTTTCACTGACCAACGTAAATGTATTTTATAAATATGAACAAATTTTGATTTTGATATCTACAACACACTCCAAAAAAGTTGGGAAAGAGGCATATTTACCACTGTGTCACATCAACCTTCCTTTTAATTACAATGTTTCATTATTTGGGAATTGAGGATAATAATTGTAAAAGTTTTGCAAGCAAAATTTTTGTCCAGTCTCGCTTGATACAAGACTTCAGAAGCTCAGCAGTCTGTGATCATCGTCTGATTCTCCTTTTCATGACTGGCCATACATTTTCAACTGGAGACAGATCTGGACTGCAGTCACCCATGCTGTTTGTTCTGCTGCACCCCCATACCATGACAGAAGTTTGCTTTTGCTTCTGTTGCTAAAGAAAGTCTGGATGGTCCCTTTGGTCTTTGGGACTGAGAACTCGAAATCCATTTTTCCCAGAAACAAGTTGAAATGTGGACTCATCTGAGCACAGCACACATTTTCACTGTCTTTTTGACTATCTGAGATGAGCTCTGGCCCAGAGAACCCGGCAGCATCACTGCATAGAATTGATGTTTAGATTTCTCCTAGAGTAACAGATATTCAAGTTGCATTTCTTGATGCAGTAGCAGACTGTGTTAAGTGACAGCAGTACTTTTCTGAAGTACTCCTGAGCCCATGTGGCTATATTTAGCACCGCAGCATGACGGTTTCTTATGCAATGCCATCGGAGGGCTCAAAGGTCAAGCACATTCAACTGAGGTTTCCTGCCTTGCCCTACATGTACTGTGATTTCTCTGGATTCCCTGAATCTTTTCACAATATTACTTGTGGTAGTTGGGGAAAGACCTAAATTCTTTGCAATTTTGCATTGCGAAATGTGGCTTTTGATTTGTTTGACACTTCTCTCGTGAAATTTGGCACAAAGTGATGAGCCATGATCCAGCTTTGCTTGCAAAGACTGAGATGCTCCTTTTATACCCAAACATGATACCCTGACCTATTACCACCTGCTTACTGTGAACTGTTTCAAAACAGTTTAACGTGGATATTCTATAAACTTTTCACTTTTATTTTGCCTCTCTCCCAAATTTTTTGGAATGTGTTGCAGCCATCAAAAAACAAATTTGTTCATATTCACAAAATACATTTACGTTGGTCAGTGAAAAAATCTTTTTTTGTACTTGCTGTGTCAATTAAATAAAAGTTAAAGAGAATTAACAAATCACAGATTCTTGATTTTATTGCGTTTTACAAAACGTCCCAACTTCTCTGGAATTGGGGTTTTAGCTTTTATTTTATATTTTCAGTTTTTATTTTAATGATAGTAATTATGTTACATGCTTTTGTCATTTTAAAAAGATTTTTAAAAAGATTTTTAATTAGCTTTAATTTATATTTATTTCAGCTTTAATTTTAGTAACTTCAAATTTGTTTAAGGTTTTTAAGTTTTTTTTATCTGATATTTATATTTTATTTATTTCAGCTATATTTCAATGAACAAAAATGATTTTAATGTATTTTAATACATGATTTTTATTTAACAATAATTATTTATTATGATGAGTGGGGGAGGGGCAGAGAGCCATGGGATGGAGCGAGGCCGGTGGAGTAATTGATAATGAGCGACACCTGCACCACTCACCGGTCTCGAGTCCCACGGAGGCGCTCCAGAAGGATAAAAGGAGGAGCTACGACAGTGAAAGACGAGAGAGGACCAGGCCTGGATTTTATTTTGTGTTTTGGTTCTGTTTGTGTGAGAGTCGTCCGCGAGGGGCTGTCGTGCTATTTTGTGTTTATTTTATTATTAAAGTTTTGTTTGAACGTTCGCCGGTTCCCGCCTCCTTCTTCCCGATCTACAAACTGTGTTACATTGGTGCCGAAACCCGGGAGGAAGGAGGGACACGCTGTCAGAGAGCCCTCGCTG